AAGGTTATTTTAAGTAATTTTGAACGTGGCATGGTTGTTGGTGCCAGATTTTTTTTTCCACACAATCATCTGGGTTTACAGAGCATGGCAGTGAGCGGCATTTCTCTGGGCGAAAATGCCTTGCTGGTGCCAGAGGTCAGAGGAGAATGGCCAGACTGCTGACTGCTGAATCTTGAAGCCGATGGGCTAGAGCAGCAGAAGACCGAACCACATGCCACTGCTTTAAAGAAGAGGAAACTGAGAGAGACAGCAGAAGATTGGAAAAGTATTGCCTGGTTTGATGAGTTGCTTTTTCTGATGCAACATTTGGATAGTGGGGTCAGAATTTGGTGACTCAAACTTGGTGGTGTAATGGAGTGGGGGATCTTTTGGGGGATCAGCCTACCTGAGTAGTGTACCCATGTTCTGTTGGCTGCTTCCAGCAAGACAACATCCCATGTAATGAAGTTAAGATAATCTCAAACAGGTTTATTGAACATGCCAATGAATTCACTGTACTCTAATATCCTCCATGGTCACCAGTTCTCCAACAAGCAACCTCTGCATTGCAGTAGAATGGAAAATTCACATTATGAATGTGCATGCAAAGCCACAGCAACTGTGTGATGCTATCATGTCAATACTGACCAAAATCTCTGAGGAATATTTCCAGCACCTTGTTGAATCTATTTCACGAAGAATTAAAGCAGTTCTGTAATCAGGTTCCAACCCTGGTGTGCATCGTGGGTTTGTCACACGTAGTGACAAACCCATAGTAACCACCCAACTTTCTTCAGCTTGTTGATTTATTCATTGTTTTCACTGCCAGTTTTAATGATTTGGTTCATTCTCCTTTGTCCCCTTATTCTCTGGGTTAGCATTGCACTTGTTTGCAGAAAAGAGCACGGATCAACCCACAGTACACTCTCTCCACCACCCATCGACAAACACAATTAGCACCCAGCTGGTAAATATATTGGGGAATTTAGCAACTAAGATTTAGCAACCAGATAGAGAATGTTGTATTTAAATTTACCAGATGGCTAGAACTAACTGTAAATTCATGCTAGTGTGTTGTAAATAGGCAACTTTACAATATGGTACCTTTTTTTCTGTTGCTGAAAAGCTAATCCAGGGTTTGAAATGAATGTGAGTGAATTGCTTTATTATTTATATGTACATTTCAGACATGCAGTTTGTGGGGGTAGGTTAATTGATCAATCCAAATTGCCCATAGGTGTGAATGCAGGAGTGAATGTTAGCACGAATGGTTGTCTGTCCCTGTGTGTTGGCCCTGTGACAGACTGGCGACCTGTCCAGGGTGTACCCCGCCTGACAGCTGGGATAGGCCCCAGCGCCCCCCACGACCCTGAAAAGGATACGCGGAAGCGAATGGATGGATGGATGGATGTACATTTCACCACTAACTATTTATTTTAAATTTATGATTGCTTTGATATTCTTTGACACATTGAAATATCCTATCCATATAAAAGTATTTCCCTCTGTTTATTCAAAAATATTTCACTCTGTGTATAAGAATTGTAGTGTACAGAACAGCTCATTAAAAACCACAACAACAACAATAAAACTGTTCATTCTAGCCTCTTTCCAACAACTCTCTTTGTGAGTAGACACACATTTGAATTTCCTATAATAGATTGTCCTTTAATTTGCATGCAGGTTTACCACAGTTCATAAAGTTGTGCTAGTGTCTAACACGTATAGTGCATGATAGCAGAAGCGCGTACTTCTAAACAAAATCAGCCTTCAGTTTTGTTGCATCTTCATCCAAAATCTAGTTTTTAACAGAGGATGCGATGAAGGTAACGTTCAGAGTCTCTGGCGTCCTCAAGCCTTGTCACCCCCAACCTCCATGATGAAGGTTTGAAGGGATTTTGACTATCTGAGATGTCTTCCTCAGTTGGCAACAGAAATTCTCCTGCACTTGGAGCTTTAGTGGTTTCTTCATCATCAGCACTAAAGTCAGATAATGGCTCCTTAATCCTGGAACAAAGATAAATAACTCTTGGTTAGGCAGTTAAATACACTGTCACAAAGACGCATTATAATTTGAGGATCTGAACATTTCATTTGCTGTTTATATTCTAAAATTCTAATTCCTTTGCAGTTGGCCTGATGGTTTGATACTAATGTGTATGGTACTCTAAAGCAGAAATATAGCCACAGACGAGCTATAATGAGAGAACAGCCATAAAGAAAATTTGTAGGTTGCCACATGGAAAAGAAGTTAAATTACAATGTAACAAGTAAAAACGTTATTGACAATTACTTTTACTTTATGGTTGTAGAACAGAATAAAGTTACAATGTCTCTTTATTTCTCCAGAAATAGAAAAAAAGCCTTTCAGCAAGTGAAATGAATATGTCATTTGTAGCATACAAAAAAGTGTCAAAAATAAATTGTCACATTAGACATTTAGCATGAGAAAACAAGCTGAACTATACAGTCAAACAGAGTTTCACAACTTTAGCTCACAGCGTTGTCAAAGAAGTAACACTGAGTAATTCTGTTAATACTGCACCACTCTGTCGCCGACCTTCACCACGCTGTGAGACTTTATTATTACTCTAAATTACTCTAAGAACTCTTATTTCATCTCAGTGAGGAATGTAGAAACAGATGTATGACTGTGTGTGTGTGTGTGTGTGACAGAATGCAGGGGAACACACAGTCATGTGAGGTTAAAATGAGTTTGTTAGACACATGACAATTGTTTGCTGCATTTAGGCAGGAGCTTGTGTAACCCAAAGTTTAACTGGTGACAGTATTACTGATACGAGGGGGAAACAATTTTCTACAAATAAAATCTAAAATCATTATCTTCACACATCCTGTCTTTTCTTATTTTGTGTAGGAAAAGACAAAACAGACACAAACCTGAGATATCCCAGTGCTCTGTTCCACTTGTGATCTCTCCGTCCCTCGACTCTGATTCCTGCTTTATTCCTTGCTCGGACTCTCAGTCCTACCAAGGCCTCGGCCAGCCCTGTTTCTTCCCTTTCTTTCTCATCCTTTTCTTCATTTGCTCCTGACATATCGTCATCTATCCCCTGCCACACCAGCTTCGCCCGATGCTCAGCATTTCTCTCCCCTGACATTCTGAACAGCCTGTGTAGCTGATGCATGTTCAAGCCTGTAAAAATGTTAGAGCATCCAGACTTTCGGCTGCGTCGACTGGAAATGTTCCACTGCATAAGGAGACTTTCCTCACTGGAGCTGGATTCCAGGGAATCTGCCATGTCACACGGTTGGAGAATTTCTGGGTTGTTATATAAGGGCACGAGGATGATGATGTGAACCCAATGTACGGGCACTGCTGAGAGTCTGGAAGATAAGGTAAAAGAGAGAGAATTAAAAGGAGAGAGACTAACCTGGTCAAACTAAGGATAAGGATAAAGAGATCACGACCACAAGCTTTTATCCAGCAGACAATTTCCATGACTGGAGCCAAAAAAACTATTTACCAACACCATCCTTTCCTGTCTGACAAACTCTTATCTCATTACTCATGGGTATTGGGTTAAGTACAGTATGTAGGGAGTTTGTTGGGCACATTACAACTTACACATTGTACAAACTCATGTACTTGCACACATCCATGTGAAAACACTTATGTGGGACTGCAAATAGCAAATTTCTCTTACCAATATATTTTTTCAGTGACTTAACTGGGCCATAAAAAGTGAGATTTTCTAATTGTTTAATTGTATTAAGTAAAACCTGAAAAAGAATAAATCTGAGAAGACGAAAACAACAGAATTTTGTATTTTTTGCTAAATCATGACAACATGTGTTCAAGCCCCCTGTAGGCTTTCAAAAAAACATGCATGTGTATCTTTAAAAAAAAAACATTAACAAAACACCACCTCATGTTTGAAGTGGGTGACTTCAGGTCTTTTTGCTGTTTCAGGAGAAACTGGTATTTTTAAGATTAGGCTAGCTTTTTGCTTTTTTGCTTTTGTTTTGGCTGATGAGAACTGATAAGGAAATTGGAAGTTTCATAGGCTATTCACAGCCTAATAGTTCTATGCGTCACATTGTTGTGTGACAGCCAGTCTCCATGTCATATCTAAAGCATCAAAAGCCCCAAATCTACATCAAATAATTCTCCATTATCATCTTGACAGTGTATCCCAAATATAACTGTAAACTACAAATGCAATAATAAGGGTGCTTACCTTCAGTCTGAGTGAGACAACTGTATGCACTAGGCCAGTAGACAGACAACCTGATTAATGAACCGGCATCCAAAGTGTAACCTTCACACCGGCTAATGCCCAGCCGACCCACTTCACAGGGGCGCGTCAGTGGCACGCGGTGTCACGAGGGACGTAAAGGAATAATCAAAGAGTAGGCTAATCCATTAGTGACGTTAGTGTTTGTGCGCTCACCTCACAGCAAGAGTCAGCCTGTAGCATTCAAAAAGAAAAACAATAACCAACAGAGCAAACATTAACCCCACCACATGGATTTGTGCTTTTAATCTCGCACAAATCCATGTGGCGAGATTAAAAGCGGGGTTATTTTGTCTTAAAATTCTAAATAGCCGTCTAATTAACCTTACAGGTATCTATGCATGAGAGCTGAACATGAGTGCATTGCTTGAGCATGAGCTTCAGGATCTCCTGAAGAATATTGAATAGATCAAAATGGTCTGAGGCATCATAACTGTCTTATTTGATAAGTTTATTTCAAGCCTCTTTTATGCATTTCTCCCATTTCTTCCGTCAACGAAATTTCAGTGGTACTTCTATCTATACCTTCCTGTTATTAATGAGATTAATAAAGTGAAGTCGTTAATAAAACCCACGCAAAGCAATTTTACCTGTAAAAAAAAGTGAGTGCGCCATTATTAACTTATTTTAGACAAGCTGAACTAAAGCTAATACCTCCTACGATTAAAGCCACTGAAATTACTGCCGTTATCCAGTCTCTGTTCAGACGTTCAACATCATTTAATAGCACATACCACGTGACCCATTGTTCCTACCATTCGGCAAGAAGCCTGGTGGAAAGGTAGCAATTAGCAATGGCTGGTTTAGAGGTAATGTAAAGTTTTTTATTCATATACTCTCATACGGCCCTGACTTATATAAACTCATAACGCTCCATCTTTTTATTTATTTATTTTTTTTTTTTTACCGTGTAGGAGGTTGATTGTAATTTAAATAAAACAGAAGTACATCAAACTGTATATGCATATAAACACTGATTAAAGGAAGCACTGTCACTGTGGAAGACCCAAACCCTGAATTTAGAGTTTAATGTGATCGTCAACAGATTTTAAAAGTTAACCATTTACTTAAGATAACGAGCATTTAGTAGATCCAAGATTCTAGCTTAACTTGCTCGAAATACCTTAACTATTTACTTTCAGGATGTAGCTGACGTTAAAAAACAAAGCTCGTTTTCTACAGCAGGTGTAGAGCACCTAATTAAGACCAATTAGCAGGCGTGTGAGGAGATCTCTTTAAAAACTCATAAAACGCCTGGTGGTTATTTCTCTTGCGTGTGACCAGCGTTTCCTTTCAAGACCAAACATGCGTGGGCTTTTTGCTGGATTAAAAGCTGGCCGGGTTCTTATACCCGGGTCAGGTATTCAACAAAGAGCAACTTACATCCATGGCAAACCGCCCAAAGATAAAATAGGCGCTGTCGTAAGTAGACGCTAATTCCATGTCTGTTGAATATGTTACAAATTTTGACTGGTGGTAACAGAAGTAACATGTTGTTGTTCTGCAGCAATCTGCCTTTGTCTTGATGGTGATGTCTCTGGCCATCCTCGGGCCTTCTGGTTGGATTCTTTCCCGCCTAGACCATTACAAAACCCGTGACTGATGGAGGACGTCCCAGGAGCAGCCGTTACACCTGTGCTTGCCCTTAAAAGAGCATAATTTCAGATATTTCAGTCGTTGCTGAGATAATAAATTTAGGTTTCTCAGTTGTACTTTGTCCTTTTTTTCTTTTTTACCAACAAAGTGATGCACTTCGCCGTTTGGACCACTAGTTGGCACATAAGCAATTGTTGGCGGAAGTAAAACCTCTCACTTTGCTTATAAACGAGCTCCATCAGTACAAGGGGTCCATTATTGGGGAAATCACGTGCTCATCAGGGGTTTTAATATTAAGTCATTGCACAGCGTTAGTGGGTCGTTAAACGCACCATGAAGCCGCAGCTGTTTGGGACCAAAGAGCGACCGTGCGTAACAAACAAAACCAGCGCGGACGCTGCGCTGTCCTTTCAAGAGGAGCTTGTAGCTGCCATACACGGAGCATTTGAAGTGGCCGTGGAGATCGCGGTTCGCGAGGTGAAAAAGCTTGTGGCAGGTCAGGTGACGAGCGACATCTATGAAGAGATACGACGAGAAAACGAGTCCCTCAAACAAAGGCTGCAGAGAGCCGAAGCTAAGCTGGACTCTGCGCGCAGAGAGGAGAACTGTGGAAGCCCTCTTACTACAAATCAGCTCTTCGGTGCCATAAAATACACCGATCAACCGCCACACCCCAACTGCAGTCAAATAAGCACAAGTGCTGTGGGCAGTGTGCTCAGCCGCACAGAGGTCAGAGGTGACACTACCCCTGCGGGTCACAGCGGAGCGCATCAGCCTCGTGACACCCAGGATCTACATTTGAGAAGACCCGACGAGCGCAGATCGCGCGAGGAAGAGAGAATAAATGACGCAGCTTCAGATCCAGAAAATGAGGCGAACGATGGATTCACTAGAGGTACTTGTGAGACTTGTTCTCTTTCATTACTGCCCCAGTAATTGCCTCAGCATCCTAGTTATATTTAGATCACGATGTGTGCACAGAAACTAACAGCTAAACTGTTAATGCACGGGGATGAACATTTTTCACACGTTTTGTAGACAAGTGTGATACCAGTGATGCACAGTTGCCAGTTTTAACAACAGAATGTTTTACTGGCAGGATTGCTGAAGTGCAAACAGTCACCTTTTTGCTATTTTAATTTTTATTTATTTATTTTAACACAGTTAAGATTGCGGCCGATGCAAAGACTTAAACAATATACCTGTTGGTTTGTGTGTGAATCCACCAAGTGCAAAGATCAAAAATACACAACACATCATCCAAGAATCATTAAAAGGTCTTTAGCTTGTCTTGATGCGCTCATATAACTTACAAGTGTTTCAAAAATAAAAATGGTGACGTATGCCACCCAGGTTATGCATTGATGGGGTTGCAATATCTTGTTCCAAAAAGTGTATATTCAGCATTAATGGTGTCTTCACAGATTTGCAGGTTACCCATGCTTTGTGCACCAATTTGTTGCCAAACCAGATGTTTGTGCACAGCAAAATCTCCAGTGTTAAATTAACGCTAGAGAGTGTCTATATGGGTCCACACCTCTGAGTGTTAAATACAACACTGTTGAGTGTTAAATTAACACTTTTGACAGTGTTATATGTTTTAAAGTAACCTAGTCAGTTTTGAAGATTAACAATGGCTAACACTGAGCAGTGCTGATTTTCTAACACTGGAATATTTCTTTTCCAGTGTTAGAAAATATTTCTTTTCCAGTGTTAGAAAATATTTCTTTTCCAGTGTTAGAAAATATTTCTTTTCCAGTGTTAGA